GTCGGCCATTTCGGGAAACCTAACAAGCCTTCACGGTTACCGTAGTGCCTTAAAGGAAAATAAGTTGTTTTTGCTTCATCTAACCGAAGAATGCTTTAATGGTTGTCCGCTACTTGCGGCAGGACGAGAGACTAGTTTTAAATAGTAATTAACAATTCGAAAAATGTTGAATTCATAATGATCACATTTCTATTGCTTGTTGTTTGCTTAAACTTTTCTCCACTCTATTGTTTTAAGTTCTTATTTATTACCACTATATAAAGCAGTAAAATTTTACTACAAGTAATGAAATGTATCTTTTTGTTTACCTGTCGATGGCTAACGGTGGTCCTATGGAAATATTACGTTGTTTCGTTTCCACACTAATGCTGTGTTGTAAGGAAATGTCTACGTGGGATGATGCTTTGCAACGTTGTCTTTACAAATTTTCCCACGAAAGAGATTTGCTTTCATCCAAGTCGAGTAGGAGACGTATATTCCAATCTAAGCGTATACTCTCTTCATTTCATTTTATTTGTCGAGACATTGTGAAATTCTACCAAACGTGTCCAGAGGCTGTGGATTGTGGAACAGTTTTCACTCGTGTGCATCAGGGATTCTTATAGATATGCCACGGTGAGTGGTGTAGCGGTGATGCTAGGGTATACATTGATCTAGCATCTATCAAGATTTATTATCTAAAGTACCGCAAACCTTATGGCAGTCACAATGTGGGTTCACGCTGCTAAGGACCAATAGTCCAGGCTAGTTTAAAGTCTCGTTCGAAAGCTCGGTTTTAATCACAAAAATTCTTCACTATACGACCTTTGTTTCTGGTCATTCTCTGAAACGAAAATGTGAAAGATGTGAACCTTTGTAATTTGTAAATTTTTGATTATTGCTTCTGTAATCTTCTTATACCCAGTTGTTGTCTAATAGACTGGCTATGGCATTTTTATTCAAGCTTTTTTAGTTTCATGTTTGATTTATTTTCACTGCTCTTTAATTTGCTCATATTTGTTTTTTTATATTTTACTCAAAATAGAATTCGTTGTTGATCGTGTTCAAACAGTAAAGCTTCTATTATTTTCATAGATTTACGTGTTTTTTCTTCGATATATTACATACTAAGTCAGTCAGTTTCGATGACCGTTTATCCTTGCGGATCGGCGACGCGTATGCATCAGAGGGTGACTCCAACGTTCTCGATCCTCTGTAAGAGTTTAATGTTCGGCATAATATAACATGATTCTGGAGTAGAGTCAGTCAATCCACTTGCCCCAAGTCATTCTTGGCGGTCCCCAGAGACTTCCGACAGGCAAATAATAGCTGTTTCTCCTTTTTAGAAGTATTTGCAGGAGGGGCTCAAACCAGCGCAAAAGTGACTTCTAAAAATTTAGAGAAGCAGCTAGTGTACACCAAGGCTATCTCAGATATCTATATTCCGGACCATGTCGAGACGCATGAGCCCGTGACTCGTCACGGCAAGACCATTTCAGCTGCTCGCACCCGACGTGAAAGTCTTTCAGCTATGGCCCATGATTTATAACCGTAGGTGGGCATGGACATGAAGATCGACTTGAACAACAAGAGCTTAGTCTTATGACTTAGTTCTGCCTTAGTCATAGCGGTTCGGCATAGCCCACGCAGAGTGCCACTGGCTACTCCAATCTTCTGATTGATAACTTCCTCAAATTTTCTATCACCAGTAAACACAGCTCCTAAGGTATTTTAACTTATGCACATGCTCCACGCACTGCTTCGCCGTTAATCTGAGGAGCGTAACGGTCAAGAGAATGAGGTAGCATGAGACTTTTCGTTGTAAATACGTTTCCACGCATGCCGACCTCGTCTCACTCGGCTGCGAACCTTACCAGAGAGCGTAGATCAGTTTCAGAACGGTCCAGCAAATAGGGCCAGTTGCAAACAGCAATCTGCGCATCTCGACATCTGCGATACTGATCGCTCGGACTGCGCGTGACTATTCTATCCATGTACATCACAAACAGCAGAAGGGTCATAACGCAGTCTTGGCGGACACCAATGCCAACGCTGAAAGGTTTGCAACCTTATTCCATTTACTTTGACGCAACACCTGCTATCACCGTATGGTAACTGATCGCTCGTCACAACTGTACATCGCTTATATATGCACGCAGGCATGCACTGATTGTTTCGCGGGATCCGGTCATACGCCTACTCTATGTCCAAAAAGCACATGTGCACTGGATGGGCGAACTCCCAGGGTTTCTCAACAATCTGGCTCTGGGCAAATATATGGTCAGAGGTGCTTCGACTTCACCCGAAGCCATGGAACAATTCTTGGATCTTGGAATCAGTTATTCTGCGGCACTTCTTTTCCAATACCTTTGCATCGATTTTTTTTCCTGGAGGGTCATTAAGGCAATTCTCCGATAATTGTAGCGGTTCCTATAGTTTCCATTCTTGAATAGTGGCACATCAGTCCCCGTTTTCCAGTTCGTTTACGTTTTTCCCGTAGCCGTTGCAGTTTGATTGGCATAACTGGCCTTGTTCACGTGGATTTGCTCGATTCTACCAGTTTTTCCGTTTTTCAGCCTCTTTACAGTTTTGTGATTTTTTCTACTGGAATACTAATATCTGTTCCCTGCGGCCTTTTTGGGTTGTTTGCAGTTACTTATTGTTAAGAAGTTTTTCAAAAGTGTTTGGGTTTGGCTATCACCAGAGCATATCCTCTTCGTAAGGGTCTCCGACGTATTTTCAGACAGCGGATGCTTTACTCGATAAAAATTGTTTTTATATAATATCATATAATATCTATT